ACAAACACAGCCTTTACAGACTACAGCCTAACCCTAACCCTAACCCTTTAAAGACTACAGCCTAACCCTAACCCTAACCCTAACCCTAACCCTGTGAGGTGTGAGTCTTCATTTACCCTCTGCAGTCTGAGAAACCCCCCCCCCTCTCTGCTGAACCAACTAACAGCATCTCTGATCACAGCTCCACAAACACACAACCACAGCTCTACTGTAGGCACTAACGATCGATGTCCAGCTGCTAACTTATCGGTTTGTCCAGGAGAACCGATGGTGGATGGATGGGCCTGGCAGGAGGTAATCTATTATTTATCAGCGCTGTGAGGGAGGCAAAAGCAGGGGGGTGCTCACACATCGGAGCTTTGTTGTGGAAGCTAAAGTTTTTCTTCACCACTGTGGGATTGCTGGGCTTTTCCCTGTCAGAGTATCACAGACAGGCGTGAAGGTCTGCAGCCTGTGAATATTTCATGCTTTTTCCTGTTGGTTCGGGTTTATCTTCACATTTTCTATGAATTCAAACGGACGCTCAGACTCAACCGAGCGGACGGTTTTGTGTTTGAGTTGTGCGCTTTTAAAGCTGGTCCACAAAACATTAACCCTAACCCTAACCCTAACCCAGCAGCAGGATGCAGCACAGCACTAACCCCAACCCTAACCTTAACCCTAACCCAGCAGCAGGACGCAGCACAGCACTAACCCCAACCCTAACCTTAACCCTAACCCAGCAGCAGGATGCAGCACAGCACTAACCCTAACCCTAACCCTAACCCTAACCCAGCAGCAGGACGCAGCACAGCACTAACCCTAACCCTGATCCAGACCTGCTGCCCCCCCACAGAGAGCCCCCGGGGCGTCCAACCAGGTCCCATGAATATAACATGATTAAGAAAGAAAGGAAACTGAAAAGGAATGAGCAAAAACAACATGCTATCGAAATTAAATCACAGAAGAAGAAAAAAAAAGACTTGATTTGTTCCTCTCCATTTTTGCTATTGTTTGGCAGATTTATTTGCTATGGCCCCGATGTGTTCACGGTTTTGGGCATGAGAAACGATTTCGAATATTGATTGTTTTATTCTTAAAATTCCATTAATAAAGACTTTTTGTCCCATCTGTGTCACACCCTGACTGACTGCTTTTTTGGGGTTGGGCTTTACAATAAAAACGTCACCAATGTTAATCCTGCTTTAAAACAGAAAAAGATTTTAAAAGCATTTTCTAAAAACCATTGAAAATTGAAAAAACAACGAGCAATATTTGGTTCTCACCTTTCCTCTTTCCTCTCAACATCTCTCCCCTCAAATGGAGATGTAAACAGAAGGAGGTCAAAGGTCAACAGTGCCTCCAGAGTCTCATCGCTCACACAGTGAATATCGAAGGCCAAAGGCCACTGGGAGTCACCAGGCCCCCGACATGTGCAGAAGTCTGGAAATTGGGTTTTTTACTCCCCCACTCAATCGATGAAATGTCTTTTAGACTTGAGGATTCAGAATGCCACGTTCACACACACCTCAGCACACCTGGCTGCTCCATCTCCAGCCGAGCGTGGAGGATTGCCTCCAATCTCTAAATAATGAAACAAAGCTGCTGGGTGGCGGGGAGGAGGGGAAAAAAAGCAGGAAAGTGAAAGTCTTGGCAGGATGAAAAACATAAAGAGAAAGGAGCATGAAATAATAATAACTGGTTTGTGAAACAGTGGAGACTTACTGGACGTGAGGATGAAATATTCATAGCTGGTTTGCAGCCGACATCCCCCCCCCCACAGAGTGATTCATGTCTGGCTGCTGATATCGAATGTGGGTCAAGAGGGAGGAGATACGGCTGATGAGGGATAAGAAAGGCCAGCAGCAGACAGAGTCTGTACCTGCAGC